CTTCACAGCACGCAGATTTAAACCAAATCCATCAGGATTCCACGAACTCACCTTCATTTCAAAACACTGAAGTTTTAAAACTTCTCTCAGATTTATTTCATCAAATTTTAATTCCACTTCTCAGTAACGCTAACTTAAATAGCCTACTTCCAATTCTCACAAGCTTTCTTACTAATTTTACATCAAATTATGGACCCAACAACAAACAACAATAACTCCCTCGGTCTTCGCATTTTGCACTGGAACTGCAACTCTTTCTCAAACAAGCGTTCCTTCATTGAGCAATTTTCTACAAACTATGATATTATTATTCTTTTTGAAACAAAGTTTAATTCAGATCATCAAATGAAGATCAGAAACTTTGTCGTTACTAGAAAAGATCGTGATGATCCAAGAGGTGGCGGTATTGCAATTGCCATAAGAAACAACATTAATTTTAAACTAATTCCAAACATCTATCATGTACCCAAAATCTTTGAAACTTTAAGTATCTCTGTAAATCTTAATGCCACAGATGAACTTTACATTATAGCTGTATATAGACCCCCTTCACAAAACTTATCTCGTACTATACTTAATCGATTTTTTAATTCCTTGCCAAGACGCAACTCTATATTCATAAGTGGTGACTTTAATTGCCACCACCCTTGCTGGGGTAGTCCCAATTCAGACCGTACAGGTGACCTTATCAACGACGTATTTGCTGATAATAATATGCTTCTCTTAAATGACGGATCCCACACCTTCTTAAACAAAACTAACCCTAGCAATCCGACACACATTGACCTATCATTTATTTCCCCCAATCTTTATACCCTCTGTAACTGGTCCACCCTAAATGATAATTTTCTCAGTGATCACTTACCTGTATCCATTGATATTAATATTCCAACTCTTAAATTCACAAAAGTCTCAAGCAGACATTTCTGTAAAAATTGGAAACCCCTCCAATGGTCTGAATTTTCATTGGCGATGCAAGATTTTGATCCTGCTCCTTATAATAACACGTCAGATCTGTACTCTGCTTTAATTAATAAAATTTCCTCGACAATCGAATGCATTCAAAACTCCCTTTCTCTTGATCGCAATAATATTAATAAAAAGTCAAAAAATGACCATCCACCCCAACCACCCTGGTGGAATTCGAGTTGTATCGAAGCTAATAATTGTCGTAAAAAAGCTTTAAAAAACTTCAGGAAAAATCCGAACCTTATTAATGAGCTAATTGCTGCTGAAAAACATGCTAAGATAACATTTTGTATAGCCAAGCGAGAAGGTTTTAAAACCTTTTGCGAATCCATCAACCCTTTTTCTTCAATTTCTCAAATCTGGACTACTGTTAAAAAATTTCGCCATAGATCTCTCACAGCTGATACTGCACTAAACAATAGTAAAAATATAGAACAGATGCACAACCTTATCCCTTCCCTTTGCCCTCAATCTTGCTTCAAACCTTTCTTTCCAACATCTTTCTCTCCTACTCCTGAATGTAATAATTTCTTTTCCAAACCATTTAGTTATCACGAACTTAATGCAGCTATAAATAACTGCCGTAGGAAAATTAACTCTGCTCCTGGTCTCGACAAAATCGACAACTTTATTCTTTCTAATCTACCTGACAACATACACGAGATTTTACTAAAAATTTTTAATGAAGTCCTCAACGATGGTTTCTTTCCCACTTCATGGAATGATTTCAAAATCTTCTTCATACCCAAAGGAAACTCGGGTAAATTCCGTCCAATCTCCTTAGCGCAATCTCTTTTAAAAGTCTGCGAAAGACTTTTTCATAATCGTTTGATTTGGTGGCTAGAACACAATAAATTACTCCCATCCACTCAATTCGGTTTTCGGAAATCCAAAAACTGCACCGACAATCTTGCTATTCTCTCATCAGACATATTCTGCAATATGGCTAAAAAAGAATACACAGCAGTCCTTTTTCTTGACGTTAAAAGTGCTTTCGATGACATAAGCACAGAATCTATAATCAATGCTTTAAAAGACATGGGTTTACCAAAATCCATTTGTTTATTCTACTATAACTTGATCTCAAACAGAAACATCTTTTTCAGCATCAATGGCCAATCCATAGGTCCTTTCACTTCTCTCAAAGGAGTACCCCAAGGATGCGTATCCAGTCCTACTCTGTATAATATTGGAGTAGGTCACATTGAGAATGCATTTGATAATAGCTGTAATATGCTCAATTTTGCAGACGATATTGCCTTTTATTCTTCCTCGAAAAACCTTAACCAAGCTCTATCAAACCTAGAAACAAACTTATGCAAAATCAATAGCCATCTTTCTTATAGAGGCCTTTCAATTTCTGCGGCCAAAACGAAATTAGTCATCTTCTCGAAGAGAAAAATACCTCCAGACAAATATAGCATAACTTTCAATGACGAATTCATCAAAAATGCTCCAAATACGACCTTCTTAGGCATTACTTTTGATAGCAACATGACCTTTGAATCACATTTTAATAATCTTTTAAATAAACTTAATAATCACTGCAACATTATTCGCTCTCTCTGCTCTACTTGGTGGGGCTCTCATCCCACATGCCTGATTATGATTTATAAAGCTCTATTTGTCGGCACTTTTGACTATAGTGCAGTAATCCTTCAACCTAGTCATAAGCAATGGCATAAGCTTGGTGTCATACAGCGTCGCGCTTTACGCGCAATTTTAGGTCTAAGGATATCTACTCCAAATAAAATTGTATATGCTGAAACAAAACAGCACCCTCTATTTATTCGTCAGAATTTTCATGTGTCAAAATACATACTCAGATGTTTCTCCCACAACAACCACCCTACCATCAATTCTATACTAAAATTATCAAACTTAATATCTCAACATAGTCCAATCTACCTTCAGAACTTCCATCTTCTCAATATCTTTAGAGATTTATTTAAATACAAAAAATTTATTCATTCCTGCCCCTTCCCACTCTGCTACTTCTTCTCCACAGAAATTCAACAATACTCTCCCAATATAAATCTAACCAGCGGTAAAGTTATTCAAAAAGCCCAATCTCCTATCAATAAATTCAAAGATCTCTTTAATGATCTTCTTATCTCTCACACTCCTTTCTATACAGATGGCTCAAAAAGTGACCCTGAGCGCTACGTCGGCTTAGCCACACATAGTCCGTCAATCAACTTCGAAGCTAAATTAAGAATTGCCTCCTTTGCATCTATTTTCTCAGCAGAAGCACTTGCAATACAAGTTACCCTTGAATATATCCTACATCTAAAAATTCCTAAAGCCATAATATTCACTGACTCTCTTAGTGTTTTACATTCCATCAACAATACCACTTACTTTTTAAATTCTAATCACATTTATATTTTTCGTATTAAAACTCTATTATATGAACTTCATTTAGCCAACCAAGAAGTAAAATTGGTATGGATACCCAGCCATGTATCTATCTCTGGAAACGAGAAAGCTGATCAATTAGCAAAACAAGCTATTTCATCTGGCATCTCCCCACCCCACCTTCTCCCAGCTTCAGATTTTATCCCTGCTATAAAACTCAAATCCAATATATTGTTTACAGATTTTATCAATGAAACCGACACTGATAAAGGTCTGCATTACTTCTCTAACTTCTATTCAAACTCGAACAAACCGTGGTTCGATACTCATCGGAAAACTCTTTCCAGATTAAACATTACTCTCTTTAGCCGCATGCGTAGCAATCACTATAATCTAGCTCACAGCTTATTCAGAAAAAATCTCATTGATTCTCCTTGGTGCGAATGCAATGAAGATTTTGAAGACCTGAATCATTTATTCTGGGCCTGTCCCAAATATAATAACCAGAGAATAACTCTTATTTCAAAATTAATTAAACTGCGCAGATTTCCACCCTTTTCTATCTCTGAATTCTTATTCAATCCGGATCCAGCTTTTATAGAAATTTTTTGCAAATTTCTATCAAAATGCAACAAAAAACTCTAAAATTCGCTCTCTAACATTTCATTTTCAATCTCCCGCCTTTTCAAAGCCCGTTAATGGCCGTATGACACAGAGCTTGCTCACTGTCGGAGCCACAGAAGAAGAAGAAGAAGAACCATCTGCTGTACTCAAAAGTAAAAGGATCACTTTTAAATTGATACACGCTTTACCTTGTACAATCTAAAAGATTTTATGGTCGCGAGATGTCGCAAACGGTAGCTTTAATAAGATAATTTGAATTTAATTTAAAAAACGTAGTGATTTAATTTTCAACGATTATTAGAAAACCATGTGAAATTTATAAATATGAATTGCTTCCTTCAAAATTGAAAAAGTTACTGATTTATTTGTAGAAGATAATTCCTGTACCGGCAGCGTGTTACCATAGCAATGATATTGTTTACTCACTCACCTACGCGCGCGTAACTGGGTTATATTTTATTATTTACGTTATTTTTTTGATAAGCTTGTATAATTGAAATTAATACAAAGTAAATACGATCAATAAACCATTACGCATACTAAAAAAAAATTTTAGTATCCATGGATAAAATATCTCAAGATGATTTCAAAAATTCGTTGGAGGGAGCTGAGTCCTTTTCAACGTTCACTGATGTAGCTGAACCTCTAGGCCTAGATGATTTCGAACTATCTACAGAACTCGAAAGTGGACTCAGCGATGCTGATAAATTAAAACGTGTTCGTCGACAATTAGGTTTGATTACTCTCAGCTGGCCCGAAGAGAAATTAGATGACCCATACTTGAAAGGATTACCAAAGCAGTACAGAAGTGTCAGTGATCATGAGAAAGCCTTACTATGGTACGCTGAAAATTTTCGACAACAATTCTGCATTGCTTATCCTGAAAGAAAACCTATTTTACTTACGTGTGCCAATGAGTGTGGAGTCCAGGTATGATACATTACATTCATTTACTTTTGTAAAAAGGTATATAGAGACACAAAAAATAATTTTTACAAGTTATTTTATTTTTTTAAATATTATTTATTCAATTTTTTCAATTTTTCATTTTACAATGGTGAAAATGATTTTTACAATGTATGTACAAAAATGAAATTAAAAAGAAAACTTAACTTTGTCTACATTAAAACACTTTGGTATTATTGATTTTTTGACACGCACTGATATATCGTTACATACAAGTGTATATTAATTTTTGTATTACAAATCAATTATTTATGTACAAAGTTTAATAAATTTTCTTAATACTTTCAACAATTTCTATTACAACCAATTTAGCTTCATTAGCTTTAAAAGATTATTGTTCGATACATCAGCATGTGCATCTAAATTTAATAGTATGGTACTGAAAAAATACTATTTTATCGCATATAATACAGCATTATTTATTTTTCGACTTATATAATTCAGAAATTTGTTTCAACAAAAATCAGACGAGCTTTGCTACCACATGCTGAGCTGAGTACCTATGAAGGATGTACCAAATTTGTAGGTGACTTTTTCAAGTATATTCCACTTGCTCAGCCTGTTTTATTGGTAAGTTTATCGAACATTCATTATAAATAATAATTGATACATTTCACGACAAGATCATCACGATGATATAAAATTAATATGGCTAACTTTTTACATAAAAAAGCTTTGAAGCAAAAAATTTGCTATTACTTAAGTTTCTTATATTAATCTTAAATGAGAAAATGATTTTCAAGAGAAAATCGGTCCAGTGATCTGAGACGCTAGATTCACTGCTGTACATTATGTCTAAATAATTGAAACTTAACCAAAAATTTGGAATGTGTTTCTTCTTTACTTTGTAAGAATGCAATTTTCATATTTGAAGTAATTGCACTTAGATAAAAAAAATATGTATGAAAAAAGAAACAGCTATCAACGCATTGTCTCAAGATAAAGATTTGAGATTTATAAGACTTATTTATAAAACAAAGTTGACAACATAAATTTATTAAAAACCGTCATTTTAAAAATTTTTAAAACAATAAAAAATAAAACTTAGGTATAATAAATTTGTCTTATAAATACCTATTTACACACATGTATGTTTACATGAATAAATATATCTACGTAAAGACAAGCTTTATTTTGAATAGCTTTGATCATGATCATTTTCATTAATATAACTTTCCAGTTTCACAATTTATGTGCGATGAGATTATAAATTAATAATTATTGCATAAGTTCAAAATTTTGAAAAAAAAAAATGTTTATCAAGCTAAACTTACAAGTAAACAAACTTAAATACATGCTACCATAATATGTACCATTTTACATCTTCTGAGTCATATGTGTTGCTTGTTTTCGACATCGCTTCGGTGTCGGAGATTTTCTACCTTTTACTTTGAGGTTTTTTAATACTGTCCTGATGAGATTGAGCTGAACTTGAGTAACTGATGGATCTTTACATTCCTCTAAGAATTGCATGAATTTTTCACCTGTGGCTACACCAGCTTTCATATCCTCTTCAGTCATTGTGGATCCGTTGGTTTGATTATTACTGACTTCTTTCTCTTTTTTTATTAAGTTTAAACACCCCTCCAAATCATGATTTGTACTAGTTTGACTCAATAGCAATGGATTATCAGAGATCGACTTGATCCCTCTAGATGGTTTATTGTTACAGTTTTGCGAAGTCACGGTAGATGTCACTGAACTAGTTGAGTTTACAGCTGAAGTTGCTGACACCAAAGGAGACCACCCCGCCGTACTGTTTACATTTGAGAACGTACCTCCATTCAAAAGATTCGCCGCCTGTTGTTGTGATTGTTGTTGATGCAGCTGTTTTTGCAGTGGTTGTAACTTTGCTTGTGCTTGTGCTTGTGCATGAGCTTGTTCTTGTTCCACTATTTTTCTAATCTGTGCCTGTTGTGAAATCCACGCAATTGTATGTTGCGATTTGTGGTCATTTGTGCTATTATTTTTATTCAAAGCTTGGTTTGTCAAAAAAAATGCATTTGCATTTTGTTGATTTGCACTTTTTAATGCGCTTTCTCGCACTGCGTTAAAATATGTTTTGTAAACTTCACTCGTTGATGAAAAATTAGCCTGACTAGTTTGAGCAGCTGAATTATTATTAATCACATTTGACTTGGCATTTTGAAGTCCATCGGGCACGAAGAGAGAGTTGTTTTGCGCGAGACTTAAAGCCATTTGACTAAGACCTGCGGTGCCGGTCACAAATGGTAATGCTGAGGCTATCTTAGAATAAACTTTTAAAAATTGGGTCGCTGCTTCGGGGTTCAGTGCACCTGCTGGGGTTTTCAGATAATTTTGATAATTCTGCATGATGACCGGATTGATTGCGGCTAAATTGTTTTCAAACTGTGCATCAGCGTCCGAGTCGTTGTGTTGACGTCTTTCATTGGGTACGGTGCACGTATTAGCTGCTAACGAAGCAACAGGATATGTCAAGGGGTTGTTCATCGGTGATTCAGACCTGGCACTGCTCGCCGACGATTCATCTTCTCTCTGGGGCTTCGAGTTCTTCTGTTCCGTAGAAGCAGCGTGAGTTTTGCACCAACCCCTCAACGTAGATTCGGGTACTCTGTAGTTACGAGCAACCGAAGCTTTGGTTTGCCCGTGAATTAAAACACATTCTATGGCTTTGAGCTTATCCTCCGGCAAAAGCGGCTTGGCGAGTCGCTTATTGGACGCAGAAGCTCGATTGGCCGGCGAGAAAGAGGTTTTACCTTTTGCCTTTCTTCGCTGCTTCATTGTTCCGGTAACTTTGGAGGTGCGATGCGTCATCGAGTCGTCCAAGGACGAGTTGGAGCTGTCCCTCATGGGAGAGCTCGAGGCGGACGAAGGTCCGGCCATATTCATGGCTTGCTGAAGCGACGAGTCGAGCATGGGCGGCGCGATGAGCGACGCCGCTGTCGGGATGAAGGGCGAGATCTCGGAGGCTATGCTCGCCGAGCCAGCCGTAGCCGCCTGACTGGCCAACTCCTGCTGAGCGTTGTTGTTGCCATCGCTCAAGTCGAGCGGTGTTACCTTGGCCGCGTCCTCACCCAACATGCTGTTGTTGCCTTGACTCTCTGGCCGCATGCTTGTCGAATTGCTGCTGCTGTTGCTCTGTTGTATCTCGAGATGCAGATGAGCCTCTAGTCCGGATCCCAAAGTAGCGGCTTGCAAAGCAGCAAGGTATTTCAAGCGGTTCCTCGTGAGGCGAGCCTCGCCAAGGCTGGCAGCCCTTATATTCACTGACGACGACACTTTGATGGTATTTGAATATCAATTGAATGAATCAATTGAATCAACACACTGTTTTTTTTTTAATTTTGTTTCGCACGGAGTCGCTCGATTTCTCAAAGCCGCGAACGCACCACTGCACACTGTTGCACTTGTACACAAACTCTGTTTACAGGGGGATAATAGAGCACACTTGTACACGGGATCGCACGCGAGGCAGAGAGCGAGAGATGCGAGGAGAGAGACGTCCGCTCGTGTCGGCTTCTGCGCTACGAGTGATCTGACTAGCGCTACACACTACACTACCTAGTCTCGTGCGCGCGGGCTGGCGCGTTAGATGTGGTGGTGGTGGTGGAGGGAGGCGAGGAGGCTGGGAGAAAGGTGCTTGCCGCTACTGCCACCTACTGCCTATCGTTGGCACTGCTGCAACTGTAATGCTCTTTATACACGGGGCTACGGAGAGAGAGAGGTGCACTCGGTGCCGGGGCCTATTTATGAATGAGAATACAGGCTGTGTGATGTGTGGCCGAGTGTGAAAACGTCTGCTGTATGTATATAACATGGGCTGCGCCGTGTGCGTCTAACTTTACTTTCTCCCCTCTTCTCCTCTTTGCGCCACCACGAGGCAGAGCCGCAGTGGGGGCAATACTCAATTTCGTTATGCTATGGTAGCCGGCGCTCCGAATGATACCTCCGGATCGGCGCAACTCTCCCACCTCTACTTTCGTGCATTTTTCCATCATTTCCCCAGCAGCATCTCCTACAACTCGACAGGCCGCATCGGCCAATAGGACGAGTGCGCGGGAAGGTACCGCCACGAGGTTTTACGTATTATGTAGTAGTGGCTTCTCCGCTATGATCCATAAGTCTGCGGGAAACACTAAACTTTTCGAGATTCGGCCTTGATCTTGAATTTCATGCGCTTCGTCTTGTACAACTTTTATCGCACGTTTACGCGTGAGAAATGACATTTATATTTTTCATCAAAGATTATGAACAAGTTCGATTTTAATAATCATTCATAGAAATATACTCCAACTGGCTTTAATCGCGCGTACTCTATGACTACAATAATAATGCACTGCCGCGCGTAGGTACAAGCTCGTACATCTATTTCTGGTCGAGCGCTTGCCAAAAAATAAATTCAAAGTAGTCGATAGTCGCTCGGCCTGCAGAATCGGCAGCCTCAAACGTCGTCGCCGCGCGTTTAAAAGCAACGAGATAGAATAGCCGCATACTCTTGAATAGTCGGGGACGAATCGCGCGCGTCGTCGCGAGCGAAAAATACGCTGCGTTTGAAGTTTAATTTCGACCGCTGCCCTCAGACTGAGGGCGTCGATAAGTTCGCGCTACAGCTGTATACTTTCAGCTTGAAATAAAAAAAAACCTGTCCATTATCAGTTGGATGACCGTGAAAGCAGAAGCACGTGAATTTCCCGACGCAACTCGTATAAATTTTCATTATTATTATAAGATTTTTTCGGCATTATTGTCGATGGAGGATTGATGCATATCCGGCAATGGTTGTTGCGCCGCTTCGTACGGAGTATCGCTTTTATCATCCTTGTATCAAGTCGGGCGAGCGATATTTCTCTATCCCCTGTTTTTTTTCTTCTCTCGTTCTCTGCTGCTGCTGCGCTCGCAAACGAACTAACAAACGAATTTTTCCTGCCGTTGCATCGCTGCCCACGTGCGCGACTGGGCTAGTGATTTTCTAGCTGCTGCAGCCGAATTTTTCGCTTCGGGCTTTTCATTTTAACGAGCGCTCCCGTGTACCCATGTGTGCGCTATATACATGTATATAAAAACCGAATATACCCATAACAGCGAATGAAAGAGTTTCGGAGCGATTTTCGGACGAACCCGTGAATGCAGCAGATCAGAGTTTTTCCGCCTCTTTTTGCCTTTATTTCTTCTCTTTTAGTATATTTTTTTTCGTAAGAAGAATCGCCACGGAGTCGACTGTGCGCCCGGAATAAAATTTTTATCCCCTGCGGAGATTCGAACTCCGTATTTACATTTTTCCTTTCGTCGCCATGAGAACTACAGAAAATAATCAGGTTGTTCTCAGAAGTAACGAGATTTTAATCAGTTTCAAATATCATACGTTTCCGTCAAGTGCAATTGACACTTTCTGTCACCAGTTCTCATTGAATAGACATTGCTAAGGTGACCACCATGATTCTGGTCAAATTGATGACCGAACGATGAGCACGCGCGTGCCTAAATCGTAAAATGAGCCGAATTCCATTCATTGTCCAGAACAATGCCTATTATTGACATTGAACGCAACTCGAGAAGTTTAGAATCTAATTATCCCTGTAAATTAGAAAACTTTTATCGGCCCGAGTTGGATCATCCGAGACACGAAAACGTCAACGTTAACAAAGTGATGGATGATACAGACTCGAAGACAAGCAGAGATGTATTTTCTCACTCCGCTATAGCAATAATCGGCACGACTGTTGCTCAGTAATTTAATACCTAATAAAGCATAGAAGCTGGCCAGCCCTGGCCTCTAGAAAGCTCGATCCTCCACGTTGTCGCTCGAGTACAAATGTTGTACGGGCAAACGCACGCATGGGTCGGCGGCCAACGTCCACGTATATACATATAATAAGTTCGTAATATAACGACACACACGTATATACGAAAGCGCAGCAACTCACAGGTGTGTGTGAGTAAGTGAGAGGCTGAGCGAGTGTATATAATATAATGTAGGTCGAGCGTAAAATTCCTCGTGCTTTGGAAGCATTATCTCAATTTTCCAACGCGAAGTAAGTATATAGCGAGCGCGCTGACGTGTATATATACGTATATACGTTATATTATATGTATAGGAGCAAGCCGCACGAGAGTATATTCCCGGGAAGAGGAGAGAGAGAGAGAGAGAGGGTAGGATTTTCCGCGGCAAATTTTCCCCCATCGCGCGCGTCGGCAGAAGCGTACTATAAGCGAGAGAGAAATACGCGAGTGTGCTTGAGCTTACGCCTGCTGTACATGTACGCGAGGATGTGCGCGTGTGTACGAGCAAAGCACGACGAGGGTATAATGTCCAGGGGATCCGCTAGCTAAAGAGAAAACGCGAGCGAGGAGAACGCGAGATTGAAGATCGATATTTTCTCGCTCTCTGCTCTGCTCTGTATATATAAAGTCTAGGGTACACCTATACGTACGCGAATGTTTGTATATAGATATATATTTATATTTATAGCGAGTTTTCCTCGCGGGAAAACGTTCGTTGCCGCTTGAAGCTGCCTCGCGAACCGTTTGATATAGCTACTTTTGGCTTTCCTCGTACACGAGAGCACCTACATGTGTGTGTGTGTAAAAAATGCCGGCGAGTCTGCATTCGCGTGTGTACGCGCCAATGCTACATTCGGTCTCTCTGCTCTGTACTCTTTTCCTCTGTATGCGCAGCACACACGTATATAACGTACTAGATATGCGAAGGTATATACGCGCTTGCCTCTCGCTGAAAGAAATCCCCGGAGCTCTGGTCTTTGCAGGTCTAGGCTATAATGCGTAACTGCGCTGGTCTTTGCAAGAATAAAAGTTTTTTTTTGCGAGATCTCAAGCCAAGATAAACAAATTTCCTCGTAACCGATGCAACTTTTTCGGAAATTACGTACAAAAACGCGTGGAATGATTCAAAATTTTCGTCAAAGACTTGCTCGTCGCTCGTCTAGAGTAAGGCAAGTGCAGAGTCGACAAAAAAAAATCAAGGAGCAAAAATCGTCGCTCGATGTGTCCGCAGCGACGGTACAGCGAGGACAAAGACGAGAACAGCGAGGGGGGCAAAGGGAGCGCATCGCTGCGGGGTGGTAGCTCGAGGGGTCGAGTCATGCGATATAAACCGAATGCGGCATAGGCGCTAGCAAAGCTCGTAGCTCGGTGACCTTTAATCGATGCAGGCCTTCGCGCTGGCAAATATAATGAGCGTATAGTAGCCGTTGGAGAAGAAGCAGCGAAACGAACCTCCCCTTCTGCTCTCCTCTCGCGAATACACCTCGATTTATACACGCTCACCGACCTTAGGCTGTATCTTTTTCTTTGATGCAATTGCTGCTTTTAAAATGCTTGATAAAATGCAACGCCTTAGAATTGAGAATGGATTTGTACTCTTCGTCATCTAAAATTTTTTCCTACGCATGATAGCTAACAACTGGGATTCGAGAAGATTCATTTGAATGAATTCGAGTGGCGATCGCTTTACGATCAATTGAGGTATTTTTATAGTAATAAAGATGTTGCGTTTTCTTCTACTGCTAAACGCAGCAGCGTATCATTTGTTTCAACCGCCGCATCGCTGACATTGCGCACGATATTTCTCTTGAGCTCTTGGACACATTTGCCAAAACAAATGTACACTAGTAGACGTATGACTCGGTTATCAAGCTCAAAACGTAAAAATAGCGAAGAAATTACCGTCTGTATACATAACATACGTCAATAATAATGATAAAACACGGGTAGACATAGTCATCGCCTCTACACTGCTGTATTTAAATTTTCTTCTCAATAACCGAATTTAACGCTCATTAGTGTATTTAAAAATCTTTTAAAAATTATTGTAAAAATTTCTCGGCCGATTTTCCCGAATCCCAGTCCGGCCTACACATGTACAACTGAAGCGGCCCAAAAAATTTGTTGAAGCGGCCGTTGGAGGATGCGTTCCATCATTTTAAGAAAAGAATAAGTAATACTCGTTCGTCACTCATCAATTTATAGGTGAAAGCTAGTCGATCGCAGCTATATTCGAGGGGTCCGACTGCATTAATTAGCTACTGTCCTATTCACGCAGAGGAAATTTCACATGAAAAATGTGAAAGAGCCCGCTACCAAAACTTACGCTGACCAAAGCAACTTGGCTACCGGAGCATACACGCATAAATTAAATCGATAATGCGGCGTGCAACGAACACGATCGCGATCATCCGTGCAGCTTAATTTTTTACGCGCGCGTCAAAATGAGACCGAGAGCGAGAAAGCCTTTCGGCCGTACATTTTCTCTCTCTTCTCGCCGTGTCTCTC